AATATAAATAAAAAAATAAAACAGAAAATAAAATAAATAATATATATTAATTAAAATTTTCTTTAATTAATATTAAAATAAAAAGTAATAATCACAAAAAAACAAAAAAACAAAAAAAAGTATAAAACATAAATAATTAAAGGTTACTTAGAGGTGACATTAACACATGATAAGGGTACCATTAGCCACCCCTTATTTTATTATAACCATAATTATTGTTTTAAGGTTATAAATTGTTTTAAAAAATGATTTAAAGTCCATATAAAAGCAAATAGGAAAAAGTCATGTGGAAAGGCGCGTGAGTTACAATAGCGCGTGGAGGGTTGCCGTAGTCATTAGTCAGAGAAACGTGAAAACAAAACAAATGTGTCACTTTCACAAGGAAAAAAAATGGGTCCCACCCTATTTATCTCGCCCATATGTTAACCAGTCGTGGTCACCACGAGCACGATATCATTTCATTATCTCGTTACCGTACAACTTTTTCGCGATAAAACGCCGATATTCAGAAATATATTATTAAAGTATGGGGCAGTGAGCCGACTGACGTGACTGTCAACCCACCTTAATTTAATCAGTTTTTTATTAAACTCCCCTTGCTATTCGCTTTTATTACGAAAATGCCATTTGCCGGTCAAACTCAATCCTCTTATTTTCAAATTTGTCTTTTTTTATTTCTTCCAATATTCTTTTATTTGCCACGTGGAACCAATTTTCTCCCCACATTTTATATTATCAAATCTTAAAAATTTCCTCGTGGTTTTTCATTTACATTAAAAATAAACTACAAATTTATTTCTACATTACAACAAGATATATTTTGATTTTAATGTTTTTTTTGTTTCTGTTAATATTATAATACGAATTTATGTGTTTTTAAATAAGCAATAAAGTTTTTCTTATTAAAATATAAATTTGAATATATCATATTATAATTTTTTTAATTCAATTTTTTATTATAATTTAATTTAGATTTAATGATGAAGTAATTTGTTTTTGGTTTAATAATATAATTTTTATAAAAATTATAACTAATTATTCTGTTAAAACTCAATAATTATTCTAATTATATTTTAGATTTATTTAAAATGAGAATTTTATCATGTATTTGATTACATTTATCTACAGTTAGTTACACGAATTTAAACATGTAGCTTATAAGTTGTATTTACGCACAATTTACGTGTAATCTTGAATTTTAAGTATTATACATTAATAAACAGTACATCATATATAAAAAATGATTTTTAAAAGTTTTTATCAAATATTTTATAATATAATATAGATACTTACATTTATAGCTTGTGTTATGATTTGTACGTCTTTTTGGATCAAAATTAGGTTAAATTATATATTTAAATAGGTATATTAAAGATATGTTAAGATTAAGGTTTACTTTTTATTTTCTAATACATGATTGATTTGATTTTGACATAAGGAACCGAGCAAGGCCGGTGTGACAAGGCCTCGAGGGGTTCGTTGGCGAGAGCGATTTTTTTTATTAACCTGGATATCCAACCCGATATGCGAGCTGACTAATCTCAGTCGACCACCTGCTTTGCAGATAGTTCGGAATCACCGCATTTGAACATCCGTGGTCACAAAGGGATTTTTATTCCTCCTTGGATTTAAACCTAAGACCTCCTTTTGACCTTTTGAGCCAAGCTCAAACCAATCAGGCACCACCCTTGTATATTCATATGTATCTATATAATTTAATATAATAAATCTTTTGTTTTTTAAGAGAAAACTAGGTAATTTATTAGATAAAATGATTAAAACGTGTTCATTTAACTGAAGTTAATAGGAAAAGATAATTGACGTTAACAAAAGGAACAATGATCTCAGTGGATTTGGCGAACATGGAGACATATTTATAACGAATGAATATCATGGACCATATTCGTTAAAAACGACACATGTTAAGGACCATGTCCAAAAGTTACTCCAGCATTTATGTGACAAATTAATTTTACGTGCACTTTTCAATTAAACAGTAAAACAGGAATGTCTACCAAACGTTTGGTTAATACTTAATTTATATATTTATTAGTAATTTATATATATATATCTATTAAGTCCAAAAATTACTCTAGTATTTATTTTAGGGTAAAGTTTTCTTTATGTTAAAGAAACATGAAAATGATTTTGTTTTGTATTATGGGCAAATTGCATGAAAAATAACGTACTTTAACTTGATTCATATTTTGGGTAACGTATTTTTAGAACTTATATCTTGGTACATAAGATGTAAAGTTTTAAATATTTAAGTACTCAGGTAACCGGTGGAAACATTAACTATTTAAACATGTTGAAGCATTAACTAGTAAGATCAAGATATTCACGTCAGCAAATAACACCAACCTCCCTCTTTTGCTATTGCCACCAAGAATACGGGATTACATGCATGTCAATGATATATAGG